TACGTGGTTCTTTTGGCTTATTGCTAAACACCCTTTAGTAGAAGCCAAGATTCTTGAAGAGATCAGAGATCATTTTAAGACAGATGAAAAGAAAAACGATGACTGTCGTGACCAAGGTTTTCATGAGGACCATCGTGATCATAATCTTGATCAAGAACAGGATCTGAAGAAATCTGTATCTGGGGAAATTTTAGGCATGAAAGAGGTGAAAAAACTGGTTTATCTGCATGGTGCTCTGTGTGAAGCTCTGAGACTTTTTCCTCCAGTTCCTATTGAACGGAAGCAAGCAGTTAAAGCTGACACTCTTCCAAGTGGGCACAGAGTAAATGGCAATACAATGCTACTGTTTTCTCTGTATGCAATGGGAAGGTGTGAAGAGATATGGGGAAAAGATTGTTTGGAGTTCAAGCCAGAAAGATGGATATCTGAGAGAGGAGAAATTGTTTATGCACCAGCTTATAAATTCATTGCTTTTAATGCAGGACCAAGAATCTGTTTGGGAAAAGACTTGGCGTTTCTCCAAATGAAGATGGTGGCTGCTGCTATTTTGAGGAAGTACTGTTTCATAGTGGAGGAAGGTCATATTGCAACTCCAACACATTCAATTTTTCTTCTAATGAAGAACGGTTTGAAGGGTAGGATAATGAAAAGAGAAGTTTGATGCAATAAAATCTAAATTTGATGGTTGAATTGCTTCTGTTACGTAATTCTGTTTAAGTCTATGTTTTATGAAGTGTTAAGTTCCTTTTTATTGATATAGTTCTAAATTTCTCAGCACATTAATCCGTATTAGAGTTTTAAGTTTTATTTAAGCACTTTTTATGCAAAGGGAGAATAATTATTTAATGTTTTTCTTATCGAGAAAAGTTGTATATTTTCTATAGGAAAATGTTTTTTTAACATTTTTCTTTGAAAACTTTTCTAATACCGCCTAACTCTTGATTGATCCGTTTTAAATATATGTACCAATAAAATAATGACATATAATCTATTGTCAAAAAGTTATTAACATATGATGGTACTTTTTAATATTACTCTAACAAACATTATTTGAACTTATATCTAGAAGGTGTGCTGTCAAAATAGATTGTAACCCGCGAGCCATCCCATCTAATTTAATTTAATTATTTATTATTTTTTGTTCCAATATTATTAGTTAACATTTTTTTATTATATTGTAGATGATAAAGAAGAAGATGTTTCAAGAGAGAAAAATATTATAAATATATTCTATTCAAGACTCTAATATTATAAATGGACAAGTGATACAAAAAGTATCAATATTAAAAACTTATTTGTTCGCCTTTTGTACATGTTTTTGGTTACGCTTTGATAATATAGTACTTTTATTTATTTATTTTGAATTGTCTTTGGAGTTTAACATATATTTAGCGTGACGTTTATTTAGATTTGGATTAAAAAAATTATAATTTTTTATTTTAAAAAAACTTATAATTAAATGAGACAGTGAACCAATCTGTTTAACTCACCAACCCATGGTGGGTGGGCCAGGTTCAAATTTTTTTAGCTCGCTAATAAGTGAATCGGGTTAAGTTGACTCACTAAGTGACCAACTAGTAAGTCAGACTAAGTTGAGCTGGATTACCAGTTTTAATAGCTCTATCTAGAAGGGTGAGTTAAATTAATAAGCATATACGTGACATATTCAATAGTGTACAACTAAAAACAGGTGAGTCTCCCTCCACTTCTCTATTTGCACCTCCAAAATTTCAACTCTGTCATATGTTATTTCCATTAAGAACCAACAAATTTATGAGAGTTGAAAATTTGAAAGCTAAGTTTATAAAAATAATATTAAAAGATAAAGTATGTTAAAAGGATTTAAAAAATAATTGAAATCTTAATTGGCTTTCGAAAGTTAGTGAGGTGCTAATTCGATTTTGATTTTAATTAGCTTTTGAAAGCTGGTCAAGGTTTCTTATTTTTTTAATTTTTTTTATTTTAGTTTAGTTTTTTCTTTTGTTTTTTATAATAATAAAAAACATATTAAAAAAATTAAAAACAAAATTAAAAAAAATATTATTATTATTGTTAAATAAAAAACAAAAAAAGTAAACTAAAATAAATAAATAAAATTAAAAAATAATAAAGAACTTTAATCGACTTTTCAAAACTAATTAAAACTTCACGGACTTTAGAAAGTCGATTAAAGTTTTAAATGTTTTCGAAATCTGTAAAACTCTTAATCAACTTTCGAAATCCATTAGTTGTTAGGGTAGAACAAAAGTTTTGGAGGTGTAAGAAGAAAATAAAGAGGTACAGGGAGAAACATCCTTAAAAACAAAGAGTATAGTTAGGATTGTTTCAAAATTATTTTTTAACTTGTGTTGTTAATTATTTGTTAACTTAATGTAATTCGGTAGAAAACTCAAATAGATTATATTATTTTGTAAATTTGGATTCGATCTTGTAATTCGTCTTTACTTCAAATTTTGATACGTTTTAATGTTCAAAAATTAAGGTTAAATAGATATAATTCTTCTAATTTAACTGAGTTAATTTTTATCAAGTGTCAAATATATTTCAGAATGATATTTAGGTTATTTATATCATTTGACACATTGCAGGTCAATTGTCAGTATGAAATATTGTTTGATAAATTTAAAAATTTAGAATCCTTAATTAAGAAAATTATATTAATTTATTTGTAAAGTTTGAAATCTAAAAGTATATATCAAACTTTAGAATAGAAATAAATTACAATTTCACATCATTAAAGTTAAAGACATATATAACTATTTTTTTTCTACATCCTAGCAGCAAGTATATATATAGTTTGAATTTCAAACTATAAAACCATACATGTTTTAACTCAAGCACTACTCAACTTACAACTTCTTTTTCCGATTTATAGGATAACAATAGATCATTGTTTCTACATCAATAAATAACATATATCAATGTACAGTTATAACGATAAGGAATATGTTTAGGTCTTAAAAATAAAAGACAATTATATGGTACAAGACAACATAATGCAGCTTACACTGCTGGAAGAGGTATCCTCAAACACCAACTATTTTCTTCCAACAGTGTTGAGGAGGTCGTTATGCATGCAACAAGTAGAAGCACATGATGATTCCTATAATGATTTGAGTCGAATGTTTGATACTTAGCAAAATTTCATCATGAGATTCTTGTCTCATAAACACAAAGTTGTCTTCAACAGTTACTTATAGATAAATATGTACATTATTATGACTTTGTTACTTATAGACAAACTTCTATAAATTTTATGTTTGTTTGAATTGAGTATAAATAATTTGTGATGTTTGTCCGAGATTATATTTATGTTAGTTTGGACTTTATTATTTAGTTGACATTATTACCTTTGCATTGCCTTTTGTTTAACACACAAAGAAAATACAATCCATTAGTTTCGAAATTATCACTGCATTTATTGACAAAATTTATAAACGGATAAAACCGTATATAAAATCTTGTACTCAAGTCATCATAAAGAAAATAAATGCTTATACATTTTTTCTAGTTTCTTACAGATATTAACAGTAAGTAATTTTTTTTTATATAATAATCAATTAAAAGTGTGTTAAACATTCCAATTATTCCTATTCAAACAGCTAGAAACATAGATAATTACTAAATTCCTTTGTTTAGAAAAGTCTTTTTCCAAAACAACAACATAAATTTGCAAACCATTATTCAATCCACGTAAAAAGATATTACTTCAGTCCCCACCTCAGTAATTTTTTATCTTAAATTCTCTAACAAACCGTTTTACGTGCACGCAACAAGGTTCTAGACATTATGAACATATTCTACATATAAACAATTTTTGTTTTTTATGTCAATTATGAAAACCTTTAAACCATTTTCCATAAGAACGACAATTAAATGCCTGACCTTTAAACCTACATACATTATGTATTTCTTCTACACACAATTTGTCCTTTTGTATAATAAAACAAAGAGTAATGCTACGTCCTCCTACAATTTTTCTTGCTTCCTTATAAAGAGAGCATTTAAAAAGGATTTGTTTATGTTTCCATTTGTATAATAAAACAAAAAGTAATGATATGTCGTCCTACAATTTTTCTTGCTTCCTTAAAAAGAAAGCATTTAAAAAGGATTAGTTTATGTTTCTGAAAATCCCATTTCTAGTATTTTAAGAGCTGTTTTTTTCCTTAAGAAAACACACATAGAAGAGAAAACAAAACAACTATGTTTCTCTGTCATTTTCAGTACAGTGACAGTATAACAAACAAAAATGTAGGTCATGCACATTATAAAAAGTGATAACAATCAGACTTAGGGCAAAACCAATTCGAATTAACATCAAACACTCTTGCCAATTCAAGGAAGCCATGCTTCTATATGCAGCCATAATATCATCATTCTTGTGCTCCCTATACTTGTTCCATCGCAGAAGATCATGCACACACCCCCTCTTGAGAGATTACCCCATCCTCGGAATGTTGCCACCACTGCTCTTCAACTTGTGGCGTGTTCATGATTTTTTCACGGAGGTGCTAACAAAACATGGTGGCACTGGGGAGTTCAAAGGACCATGGTTCACCGATATGAACTATTTGGTCACTTGTGACTCCCTCAAAGTGCAACACATGTTGTGCAAGAACTTCGACAACTATGTCAAGGGACATGACTTTCGTGACATTTTCGAACAATTCGGAGATGGGTTTGTCACTGCCGATTCAGAGACATGGAAGTACATCCGAAACCTTCTCCATTCTTTGATCAAACAAAGAAGGTTCGAAGTGTTTGTTCATCAAACCGTTCAGAAGAAGGTGTACACAAGCTTGCTTTCGATATTGGACCATGCACAACAACAAGGAAGAGTGGTGGATCTTCAAGATATCTTGAATCGATTCACATTCGATAACATATGCTCCACAATCGTAGGACACGATCCTAAGTGTCTTTCCATTGACTTTCCCGATGTTGCAATCGAAAAGGCTTTTAATGAGTCTAAAGAGTGGATATTCTACAGACACGCAGTGCCGGGAAGTGTTTGGAAGCTCCAAAAGTGGCTCCAAATTGGTCAAGAGAAGAAGATGACGGAGGCATGCAAATCGTTTGACGATTTCATATATTCATGCATAGCGTCCAAGCGAGAAGAGTTAAGCAAGTGCAGCAGAGAAGGAATGGAAGAAGCTCCATTTGACTTGCTTACAGCTTTGATCACAGAAGAGAGAGGACGTGTGCATGATGACAAGTTTCTAAGAGATGCTGCGTTTAACTTGTTTGCAGCAGGGAGAGAAACCATTACTTCAGTTCTTACATGGTTCTTTTGGCTTATTGCTAAGCACCCTATAGTGGAAGCCAAGATTATTGAAGAGATCAGAGATAATTTGAAGACAGATGAAAAGAAAAATGATCATGGTTTTCTTGAGGACCATCGTAATCATAATCTTGATCAAGAACAGGATCTGAAGAAATCTGTATCTGGGGTAGTTTTAGGCATGGAAGAGGTGAAAAAGCTGGTTTATCTGCATGGTGCTTTGTGTGAAGTTATGAGACTTTTTCCTCCAGTTCCTATTGAACGGAAGCAAGCAGTTAAAGCCGACACTCTTCCAAGTGGGCATAGAGTAAATGGCAATACAATGATAATCTTTTCTCCGTATGCAATGGGAAGGAATGAAGAGATATGGGGAAAAGATT